TGGGACTTCGTGTCGGTGGGAAGCTATTAATTTTCTTGTAATCCTTTGCAGGGGTGTGTTTATTGGTCTTCAAGGCCATGAATAATTATTATGACTCGGCTTTTGTGGAACTAGGCGTTACTGGGATGTCTTAAATGTGGCAAACAGAGGGATAGATTTAATGGTTGTACTTGATGCCTTTGTAGCCACTGGCTTAACGAAAGTATGCCCCTGGCTACTTCCGCCCCGTGTCGCATACCGGCAGGCACAGCACGAGACTTAGTCGCACCGGGACTTCCCAGGCACATTGTGATTGTAAATTACATCCATATTCAGTCAAAAGGTCCTGGTGCAAGGAATACGCCTTTACTCCCCCTTCTATCTGGCATTTCCCTGCAAGTTTTCTCCTTGTTTGGTTCCCATTGCAGGCCCGGGCTACTTCCAGTCCATGTTGTCGCATGTTCTTGACGTTATCTGAGCTAGGAGGGGGTCTGAACTCTGCTCCTGTGCTCTGTTGTCCACTTGCACTGGCAACCAGCCTGGCTACACAAGCACTGGTCTGCCTTTGCCTGCTCTTCCGGTGGCCATTGCAAGAGGTCATGCTATGCCCAAACAAAAACTGACATGTCAGTGTTTTGGGGTTAACCCCAGGAGTTATGATGTATAGCCACAGTATGGGTAGACTACTGTCTTTACCGGAATAGAATGCACGGTCATTATCGCTGTATTTAGACTGAAAGTTGCCCCAAATACCGCTATACTGACCGTAGATTCTGTTCGGGTGAAGACGCTAGTGCGATGAATTGATTCTCAGTAGTACTTATGATGCACTGTCAATCGTGCGTTGCATCAGGCATGTGATGGACTCGCTCCAAGTTTTTCTCCTCTTGCCGACCGTTATCAGCCTGAATCCTCAGGTGAAGCAGGAGGTGTGCGGACCAGTAGGCTGCTCAGTAAAGGGTTTGACTTAAACCACAAGTACACTAAGTTAAAAAGCCCATGGGTGGGCATCCAGCACACCCAATTAACACTGATACACTTCTTCGGAGGACAGCAGAACACTTTGCGATTTGGTAACTGATTGCAGTTAATTGGGTGTGTTGGATGCCCGCCCATGGGCTTTTTAACTTAGCGTTAGCATCCTGGATGCATCTGGTCTGGTGGATGATCAAGGGTTTGGCTTAAACCACAAGTACACGGCCTCAGCCTTGGCAGTCCGAAACTTGTCGCCACAGGAAAAAATGAGGCCGAAATGTCAAACGCTGGGCCTGCCAGTGATCAAATGGATCGGCGGGCCTCCAGAATTTGAGGTGTCAGGCCCACCGCCCAGGCAAACTCTGAGTATGGAAATCGAGCCAATCCGGAAAGTTCCGGGGCTCGAGGCTACCGGAACCAGAATGGCTGGTGGCACCAGGCAAAAGAAAGAAAAAGCTCCGCACTCGCATTTCGTCAAAATTTAGCGCGCAGGGGAATCAGCCTCACGAAAAAGAGGCTCCGATGTAGTGGTTGTTTAACATCTGCTGTATGTTGTCAATGCACCGGTCTAGGACACGAATGGCTCGGGGCTTTGGTTAGCACATACGTGCAGCTTTTTATGGCCACGTTGGCGGGAGGAGGGACTGCGCACACCATGACCTTGTGGGTGTCACAGTGGATGCATGTAGGTTACTATTGACTTCCATTTCTTTGAAGACGAGTTCCATTATATCTGTATGCACTGTGCAATTTCAGGCTAGGTGCAGATATGATAATCCTACTTTCTTTTCGGGAGAAGGCTGTTCATAGGTAGTCATGCGAGCTTGAGGAGGGTGTTGAAGGGGCAGCAGCTAGTATGCTCGGAAAATAGGTGCCATGGTATGGAAGCTGTGTGGAATGAAGCAACAGTTGGGTGAACTACTGGCGAACTTTGGGATAGTTGTCAAAGCTGTTCCTGTTGGGGGGGGGAGAAAGGCTGTCTCTTATACACATCTAGATGTGTATAAGAGACAGACCCAGGACAGCGA